AGGGAACCGATTCCCCCCAAGGGGGTACCGATTCCCTCTTAATGGTTTGGCTCCGAGAATTCCAGTATGCTCGGAGGGAACCGATTCCCCCCAGGGGGTACCGATTCCCCCCACTGTTCAACGGTCGAAATATTTAAATTTTATACTTAGGGAACCGATTCCCCATGAGGGGTACCGATTCCCCATGAGGGGTACCGATTCCCCCCACGCTCCAAGCTGTTGTATTAATGGTTTTCACACTTAAACGGCTCCATTGACTCCACTAATCATCCCCAACATTCAGAATCAATTAAGGGAGTATTTAAACAAGTTCTGAAGCCTTTGATCAACAAGAAATTATAGAGAAACAAGAGAGAAAGCATCAAACACCAAGTTTGTGCAAATCAAGCCAATTTTCCTTTCAATATTCATTTTGCTTTCAAGAACACCATTTGTTCTCATTTGTAATTATTTTGGAGTGTTCTTTTCTTGTTCTAGAATTGTGCAAACAATCTACCTTGTGAGGATTTCCTTGTAAGTTTGCAAATTTGTAATCTTCTCTTTGGGAAAGAGTGTTCTCCAGAATTGGGGTATATTCTTGAGGGTGTTGTAAGGTTATCTCTTTGGCCTCAAAAGAAATAACAAATTAGTGAATTTGTTGGAAAATCCTTAGTGTGGATAGCTAAGGTAGTGGACGTAGACTTTGATTGAGAAAGTCGAACCACTCTAAATCGCTGTGCAATTACTTTCAATTTTCTGCAAAAGCTTCCACCAAATTTTTAATTGCCAATTCACCCCCCTCTTGGCCAATTCCGTCAATTGATTAACTCAACAATTTACCTACTATTTTAAGTCCCTTAATTTTATTAATCTTTATTTACTTATTTACAAGGAAGAAGTCAAGATTTTATTTCAGGGGACAAAATATAATTAACAATAGAAAATGGGAGGAAAATCAAAATAAATCAAAATTTAAAAGTTTAAATTGATAATTATCCCTATTTTTTAATGGAAATTTTTTTTGGGCGTGTTGTGGCCCCGGGGTCTACATGGCTCTGTCACTGCTTATTTATATATTATTTTTCAATTGGACTAATACATACAATTGATCAAATATTAATTTAATTAATAAATTATTATTTTAAATGGTCATTAATGATTGAGTATATTTTTGTTTTTCTACTAAAATTTCAAAAATAATAAATTAGTCACTAACATTATAGTTTGTAACAAATTGATCACGCATTGTTATTAACTGTTATTGCAGTAACAGAATATTAATATGACACGTTAAATTAATTTATTAAACATGTTTGATGGTTTGACCACGTTTGACTATTTGATTAACTCTACTTCTTTTTCCTCCTTTATGCTCACCACTAACTATCGCATTCTCTGTCAGTTTGTCATCCATGCCTTGATCACAGGTTAGTAAACCCTTCGAAATAATCTTCTCTGTTTAATACCATGATTAAAAGGTCATTTTAGTAGTTAACAGATTGGATACTTGGTTGTGAATAAAAATCTCGAAGAAGATGCTTCACTCTCCAAGCTCTCGTTCAGCGACATCGTTTAAAATCGTGATATCCACAATCGTTGTGTTCATAATAACATATGTTATTAAAAATTCACAACCACGATACTTGTCATGACTGTAATATCATCAATTATGTCTATAAAAACGGTAAACACAACACGACCGACTATACAAATGCAAATTGTAATTTAAATTCATGATTAAGGGGCCACCTAAATTTCAGAAACATACCTGTCTTTTTTGTTGATCAATTAGTGTATTTTTCTAGGGGTGAACCTAGCGGTTGTTAGGTTCGACGAGCTGAGAAAGAAGATTATTTCCCACGAAAATGCATCAATTAATGGTGATATCATAGAGTTGATTCATGGTCATCACTTGTTCAAATACGTATTATAGTCTTCATCAAGTGGAAAGAAGAGAAGTTATGGTGAAGCTAAAAGTGATAGAGAAAGTCTGAAACTTGCTGCAAAAAAAAAAAAGTGAAATCAAGGCTCCAAAAATGAAGTAAACTATGTTAATAAGCTGAGCATTAAATTTGAAGGTCTTTTCTTTATTTTCTCTTTAAAAAGTTTATTTTTGAAGGTTTGCTCTAATTTTGATAGGAAGGGAAGAAGGATAGTAGTTACAAAGAGCATAATTGTGTTGGGGCTATTGGTGATTTTCGAGTTTTGAATGATAAGTTATCGCACACATTCCCTCTCCAAGCAAGACCTTTCTATTTTCAAGCTTGTTGATGGAAAATGCCTATCAATGTCCTAACATCGTCTTTGGTATGAATGATATATATTGTTTATAAAGAAGAAGAGGAGTCAAACATGGCCAAATGGTCAAGCATGTTAAGTTAGTTAATTTAACGTGTCACACTAACATTTCATTATTACATAAACGGTTGTTAACGATTTGACCGATTTATTATAAACTTAGTTTTAAAAAGCACATTCAGTAGCGCCTAAGGTGCCGGGCACAACTGAGCTCCCGAGAAATCATCTCCGAAGATACAGGCGTAACGCAGAACGGCAGGTACGTGCTTCTTCCGCTTTTGGAGCTTTTTGACACAGGCGTAGACACATCACCTTTTGCACCTTTGGGGGGTGGGGGAGGGATGGCGGGATGAACTGAAAAAAATAATTTAAAAATACTTTATTTGTTAAAAGACTTGCCAAAAATTTACCCCCTACTCCTCGATCCCATTCATAGAAAAAACCCTAATCGAGTGCAACCACCTTCACCAGCGTCGTATCATGTCGTCTTCTACTTCGTCAACCACCGTCGACTCTGCCAGCAGTTGTTGACTCCGCCACCGTTCAATATTTCAGTCTTCTCTAGCAAAATTATATAACCTTTAAATTATATTGTTTTGTTTTGTTTCCTTCAATTTTGTGAGTTGATGGATGCAATTAAATAGCACTAGCTGAAAGGTTAGGATGTAGGTTTTGAAAAAAAACTACTAGAGCGAGACTTTCTTTCCACTATCATACGCCTCTTGCATCCCTCTTTTGATAATTATACTGAACCAAAGGCTATATATTATATTAGACATCTAATAAAATACCTCTAACATTTAATAATATTGTCAACTCTATTCATTAAACACGTTTGAATTTGAATATTCAAATTTCAATGTTTATTTTGGAGAAAAAAATCTTTTCTATAGATGAAAATCATTAGTCAATTCACACTCAATAAGATGACGTGAAAATCTTATATGACACTATAAATGACGTGACACAAATGACATGCCATCAATTTTTAAATTAGTTTTATATATTTTTATTTAATATTTTTTGTATACACTCAATAAGATGACGTGAAAATCTTATATGACACTATAAATGACGTGACACAAATGACATGTCATCAATTTTTAAATTAGTTTTATATATTTTTATTTAATATTTTTTGTCCAATACAATTATAACACATGTCATTATCTCATTGATTTAAATTTTAAACAAGAAAAATATATTTTCGAGGATACTTGAACTTAAGACACTATACATGGAATCCCATTACCAAACCACCGAACTAACTCTTGCATTTGTGATATTTTTGTAAAAAAAAGTATTTAACATATATCTTTTTTCTCACATATTTTATCAATCACATTCTTCATCCTCCCTTCACCTGTAATTTCTTTTTCTTTGATTATAAAGAACCAAGTTCAGAAAATAACCATCGCTTGTAATAACCAATATCACCATTATTGAAATAACCAATATCATCACCAATATCACCAAAATCATCAACAAGCTTATGGAAATAACCAAACCAAAAAGAAAACTTTACAGCAAATGCAACAACTCACGACCAATGAAAACTTGATTTGGCTTAATAGCAGATTCAAGCAACCTTACAAAAAGCTTCAAACCATGAAAACTTGATCCGTTTTTCACCAACCCAGTAATCCCAGCTGTCCGCGAAACCACACTTTTAAATGGGTTCCTTTCAAAATACAACATGGATTCTTCCACTTTTCCACATTTCATTAATCCCGAAATCATCAATGTCAACGTAATCTCGTTCCTTTCAGGCATTTCGTTGAACAGGTTCCGTGCTTCACTCAAAACTCAAATTCCCCCAGCAAATATGAATGAATATTAATCAAACAGTTTTGAACAACTAAATCATTATGCCATTACATTAAAATAGATTGATTTAGATACATTATCTTTGTTAAACTATGCAATAACAGATAACATCATTTTTTCCCCAATCGACTATTCTTTTGAAACGATTTATTTTTGTTTATGTTATTAGAATTTTATTTATATTATTTTAAATTTCAGTTTGTTAAAACAGTAGATTCGATTTATGTTTCTATTGGATCATCGAACTCTTTAGATTCGATAAGAAATTATGAAAAAACAGAACAAACTAACAACAATAATTTGTGTTGTTAGTGTAATGATATTGAATATTTTGATCTTTAAATATTTATAAAATGATTATCATGTTGAATATGCTCTAGAATTGATTTATAGGTTTTTTTAGTATAAAAACGTTTCTCGTCCTCCACCTGGCGTCTAAGCTCCAGTGGTCTTTTGCGGCTCGATGCGTCCTGCGCCTTTTAAAAACTAAAGTTATAAATCGGTAATTTTAATGATTAATTTATTATTTTTGAAATTAAGTGAAAAAAACGTACATGTATTAAACAATTAATGACCATTTATGTAGTTTACTCTTTATTTTTATATATGTTTTATTTTATATACTTACCTACTTTTTTAGGTCCCTTAATTTTATTAATCTTTATTTATTTATGTATTATTGTTTAATTGAACTAATACATACAAATGGTCAAATATTAATTTAATTAATAAATTATTATTTTAAATTAACTTATAAATTAAACACGATATAAATTAACATATATAATGTCTCCTTATATAAAGCTTTATAAATATGGAGTGCCATCATTGTTTTCCCTTTATTTTCTTCCTCAATGATCTATCGTCTTTAATAAATTCTCTCGAAAGAGGAGAGGAATTGATTTTCTTTGGCTCATTTTCACTGCCTCAAACGGGAAACGAGAAAAAATCATCTTCCAGCCGCCCAAACCCTAAAACGATTCCATTGTTCTAATCAAACGCAACAGAGATTGAGCCACTCGTTAAGGGAGAGAGAATCTTTGAGTTGAATCGGTCGGAGCAAGACCAGAGTTCGAGGTTGTAAACAGACGTAATTTTATTAAATGGGTGCGGCGGGTTCAAAACTCGAGAAAGCTTTGGGAGACCAGTTTCCTGAAGGCGAAAGATATTTTGGCCTAGAAAACTTTGGCAACACTTGTTATTGCAACAGCGTGTTGCAGGTTTTTTATATATATCTTTTCATTTACAATTCAATTTTGAATCTAGTTCGATTTGTCTTTCTCTTATTCTGAAAATCATGCTGAATTCATTCGTTTATGTTAGTTCCAATAATTTGAACTTGATTGGCTTTTAATTTTGAGCTTTGAACCATTTTTTAATATTCGTACATTATGCAAATATATTGTGCTACATGTTTCTTATTATCTTCTTTGCAAGTATGAAGGTTTCCACATTTTGATTGCTGCAGCATTTATCTATTCGTGTACCTTTTTTATTTTTTTTATTGCGTTTGACTCTGTGATAGCTGTTGGAAGCAAGTAAATTTGTTAAGAAACCCTGACGTGAATTGCCTGTATCTGATTCTCTCTTTTTCACGTTTAGCTCTTAATTTATCGGGTAATTGCATATTGTATATGCATTCAGGTGGCATACAACAATGTAGATTGAAATTACAAGGTTTACGTTTTAGATATGCTTGCGATGACCTAATGTTGGTTATGACAGCCATCAACTAATACTTCAAAAGGAAAGCAGCCTGTGTTTGGAATTAGGATGTTGATGCTAAACTAAATGATTATGTTATTCATCATAACTGCTTCTGTAATTCAGATTACAGTATACATGCTCATGTTTAATATTTTTAATATTGCTTTTATCTCTCTATTCGTTTAAGCTGGTTGATTTTTGTAAAGGCAAGTGTTGTGAAATTTATTGATTAGGTTAGCTTATGTTGGTATGATAGCTATTAGATATTGAAGTTTTATGCAGGGTTGATAGGTTTACTTGGATCGCCCAACATTGAATTGTCTGAACAATTATTTCTGAATGAATGCAACTGCAACATTTCATTACCAGATTCTTTAGTCCCTGTGAACATTTCTTTTGTCATTTGTGCTATGGTAATCTGAGATCCTTGGAAACACTTCATTCTAATTAATTTTGCTCAATTAGAACATTTATGGTTATTTTGGAAGTAGTATTTGGTAATTCCGAACGTTTTATGATATCTTGTTGAGTGTTGGATGTTTGTATTTTAAATTTATGGGCAACAATGCCTGCTCAGCTTCAACCAATGTCTTATTTCATTTTATCATTTTTTCAGGCACTTTACTTTTGTGTCCCATTTCGTGAACAGCTGCTCGAATATTATTCAAATTATAAAAATGGTGCCGATACTGAAGACAATCTACTGATATGCTTGGCTGATCTGTTTACACAGGTAAAACTCTGCCAAAAATGTAATGTTATTGATGAGCAATTGTTCTTTAGGGTCAGTAGGTTGCTTTTTCCTGCCAAGGTGGTATTTTGTCTTAGCCAGTGGTGTTGCCATGTGTTTTTTCAAAAATTGAAAGCATTTTTTTAATGATGACCAGATCAAATATCAGCATTAGTTTCTTTTTTATGGAAATATTGGACATAAATTGCAATGTCAAGTTTTGATCTTGGCTTCCTAGAATGGTCCACTGTTTGATTTTTTTAATAATTATTTATTTTCTTATTAGAAACACTATGAGCCCAATGGTTAGAATTATGAAAACTCAATATATCATCTTCATGATGACTTAGGATGTGATTGGAAATGAAGATTAATATTGTTGTTAACTAGCGTATTACTGGAAGTTCCTATCAAAATTTGCATGAGTTCCTGGTTTCATACAAGGAAGAATAATGTATGACATGTGTTTGTTCCTATGCAAGATATCACTCATATCACTTTTCTATTTCTTGTCTTTCCTTTTTTAAGGGTATCGTTTGATACTCCTATAATTGCATTTAGGAAACCGCTTAGATCCCAGGAAAATGTTTTGCTTGAATATTTTTGGGGTCTAATTTTGTTGGGAAGATGATGCTTTTTCTATTTCTAGCAAATGTTGTAGTTGGACTAGTGAATCTTTCCCCTTCTCCTATAGGTACTTGTGTCACATATGTAGTCTTTGCTTGATTTCTACTGTGACTAACTATTGGTTGTTCGTTATGTTTAGATAAGTTCACAGAAGAAGAAAACAGGAGCCATTGCTCCAAAGCGCTTTGTACAGAGATTGAAGAAACAAAATGAGCTTTTCCGCAGTTATATGCACCAGGTATTAGATATTAATTACCTTATTTCTTCCTCTAAATTCACTATCTCCTTTGCTTATTCAAGGTTTCAATTACTGTAATGTAGTATCCTTTTCCTATTATGTCAACCAAATATTGATTTTATTTTCTTCAATGGAAAATGCGGAAGAGAATAATTCTCTCTCTCTCTCTCTCTCTCGGTAGGATGCTCATGAGTTCTTGAATTTTTTGCTGAATGAACTTGTCGACATATTGGAGAAAGAGGCTCAAACAGCAAAAAATGAGGCTGAAACTTCATCACCGCCTGAAAAGACTGCAAATGGTCTAAAGAATCCTCAGGCAAAAGGTGTTCAAAAAGAGCCTCTGGTTACATTGGTACACAAGAACTTTCAGGTGAGTTTGCTAGTTGTGTTCTGTATTTTAATATTCTTAACCATTCTTGTTTTTTGCTTTATTTACTTTGCTTGACATGAAATATAGATGAAATCTAGTATTTCTTTGCTTAGGTTATATTTAAGCTACAATGTAAATGGAAATCTTGGACAAGTGACATAACTAAAATTGTAAGAAAGATACTAGGTCTACAAAGCATCTGTATGTTGTAGAAAAATTAAACTTATTTGTGCAGTGATAGACAGAAAATTCAATACAAGCATCACTAATGCTATCTAGAAATGCTGCAGGAAATTGCATCATTGGTAAACCTCTTTTGCGTATCCTTTTTTCTACACTGCATCTTCTATTGATACTTTACTGCTTTTCTTTTCATTCAATTATGATCTAACATCTGTTAACTGTAAAGTGCAAACCATAAGATAACAAGGAAATGGTGGCTACCATTAGGGTTTTCACTTTAATTGTGTATTTGTTGACTATGCTTTGCAGAGCATGAATGATGTTTAATTGTCAATTTATTCACTGACAAGGAAGAACCTCATTTTCTCATGGGCCAACTTGAATCAGGGAATACTTACCAATGAGACCAGATGCTTGCGATGTGAGACAGTGACAGCTAGAGACGAAACTTTCTTTGACTTGAGCCTTGACATTGAACAAAACAGCTCAATAACTAGCTGCTTGAAAAATTTTAGTTCTACTGAGACATTGAACGCCGAGGACAAATTTTTCTGTGACAAGTGCTGCGGGTAATTTTACTTTATATCCTTTTTTTTGCATCAGTTGATGTGTTTTTCACATCAGATTTAATTTTTGCTTGCAGTTTGCAAGAAGCACAGAAGAGAATGAAGATAAAGAAGCCTCCTCACATCCTGGTCATCCATTTAAAGCGATTCAAGTACATCGAGCAGCTTGGCCGGTACAAGAAGCTCTCTTACCGTGTGGTTTTTCCGCTTGAGCTGAAGCTGAGCAATACTGCGGAAGATGCAGATTCAGAGTATTCTCTGTTTGCTGTGGTTGTTCATGTGGGAAGTGGACCTAACCACGGGCACTATGTTAGCCTGGTGAAAAGCCATAACCACTGGTTATTTTTTGACGATGAAAATGTCGAGATGATCGATGAGTCAGCAGTTCAGACATTTTTTGGGTCTGCCCAGGAGTATTCAAACAATACAGATCATGGGTATATCTTATTCTACGAAAGTCTTGGTGCAAACAAGAATAGCTGAGAAGAGGGTTTGGTTTTCTTTTTACCATGAGTTGCCGTTTAGAAACAGTTGAAAAGGAATCAAATAGACAAGCTGTGCAGATATGTTAGAATCATTAAACGTGAAATAAGAAGGCTATTTTGCAAATGAGGAGATAGATAAGTTGTGCTTTGCAGCTTTGTATGTCCTGTAATTACAATGTAAGTCTTAGGAGAGTTTTACTTTAATAGCCTTAGTTTTTTTACCTATACATTTTCGTACATTCATTGGAGACTCACATATTTTGATATGGTAGTAGAGCTGAATGCTCTTTTGGAAACCCTGTAATGTAATTTTGTGGGCTTACGTTTCCACATTCAGAATATGTATCTGAAAAAATCCTTCCTTTTGTCCTCTGAATAATGGTTTGTTCAATTATCCATTTACAATCCTTGATTAAATAAAAACATATAGCCGCAACAACACAATGTTCACCATAACCATAACAAAAGTTGATTTCATAATTAATACAAAAATGGTTAGTTTGAACAAAATCATGTTCAATTGACTTTCAGAAACAGGATCAGCTATCGTCCATCTATTGTTTCTGTAGGATGGAATAGGTAAATCTGAAGTTGCCTTAGGCATTCATTTTACCCCAAAAAAGAAAGAGAAAACATCCCCAGCCTTAATCGATAACAAAGTCGCACCCAATCCGAAAAAGGTCGAGCCGATCAAAGGTCTATGCAGGCTCCACCTTTAGAACTATCTTCATGAACTCGTAAACCAAGTAACTTATGGCAGCTGATGGTAATACCTGAAATGAATTGGTGCGATCAGGGTGACTTAATATACACACAAAATATTTGAACCAATATATATATACACACACAGTTGATTCATGAAATAGAGGCAGTAGTCCATTTACTGGTCAGAATATTTTAGTACCTGCAGTAAGCTGGGGATTAATCCGGCGTAAAGAGCGGAAACACCACCTTCTTGATGCAAGTTGCCAATGCACTTAGCTTGGTCGCACGGACTTGCATTTGAAGATGCCTCCTCACTACTTCAAATGGATATGTATCAGCTTCGGAACATGCACCAGCAATCGCCCCGTACAGTAGTGTTCTAACAGGTCCCAATTCTAATTGTTCAAATGCATTCAGTTCTTGACCACCTTGTTTCACGTTGAATTCTTTTTCTCCCTTCAGGTGAGCGAAGATAGGCCGACTTCAATAAATCATAGACACCATAGAAGACTGCACCTGAAGGTGACATGCTTATTATTGAGGGGACTAGTCCCTTATAAAGAGAAAAGAACCCTTCAGTCTGAATCATATGCCAAAAAGCACCGATCAGCCCACCCAAAGCTTCCCCACCTGGAGCTATCATTATTGTCCTTATCTGTAATTAGAACATACAGAGTCGCTTAGCAATATTTTTAACAGAACAACAGTTCCACATACCATAATCAAGAAGAAAAAAAATTCTTACAGCACAACCTAGATTGACAAATGAAAATTACTCCAGACGAGCCCCTACTTGAATAGCATCTCAATCGTAGCCAAGTCTATTGGAAAGGGAGTTACAACGGTACACGTAGAAGATTTATTTTTCCGAAACACGAGGGATAGTAGAAGAAAGAAAATCTCAATAAGGCATACAACGTTGAAGTGGAAAGAATCTAACACAACTGAAATCAGTTGAAGAAATGGGACATGATCGTAACAACTTCATCATAAGTGTTGTGCGCAGACAGTATTCACAAAACTAAACCTGCTGCCAACTTGCATCTACAATAACTTTTGTGCAGGAGTTGGCAGTAAAATTAAAATCAGCAAAGCCATACTGAATACGTGCCTAAAACAAGTGAGAGTTACTATGCAAAACAAAGTATGGACTTCTTTAAAAGTGCACCTATGCATGAAAGAAGAGATAGATGGCTTAATCATGGAGTCATATGAAATCTCAGAAAAGGATATCTCAGTAAAATGTAACGAAAATTAAGCCGTAATGAATCTGTGGGACCTATCGAGAGGAGGACTTGTTGGTAAAATAGACTACTGCAAAACGAGGCGATAGCACTGACTGGAAAATATTAAATAAAATAATCAATCAGAATGATAACCGTGTCGTGGTAATCCACTGCCTTAGAAGCAAATTCGTCCCGATGTGTGTAATCGCTACAATGAACGAACAGCCCACTGAGGTTAACACGGCTCTCCAAGATTTCGTACACCCGAAAACTGGAGTGAACTTGGTGGTATTGCTCTTCTCTCAACTCAAACAACACTCAAAAGAGAGAGTGTTTCAAAGCAAATGATTGCTTGGGATATATCAAAGTGAATGAAATTGTCCTCTATTTATAGGCTAAATAGTGAGGGCAAAATAGTCACTTCCAAATCATAATTTAATTATATTAAACATAGAATTAAAATCCTTTAAAAGACTGTTACAAATTGAGCATTACCAACATTCCCTCACTAATGCGAAAGAATTCTTTCGTAAAGATGAGAGCAATGAAGTTAAAACATGAGAAGAGCAATAGCGAGATTAGTTGCTCAAGCACTAGTGAACGTATCTGGAACTAGTACATAGTGATGATGAGCAATCATTCTCTTAGATAAGTGGAACTAGTCTGGAACTTTCTAAGATTGGGGTAAACTCATAACACACAACTAACCCCTTCATCCACCAAAGTTCTCGATGTGTCTACAAAGAATATATACAAAAGCGTATATATGTTTAGCCCTCTTTCCTCAGGATTCTAATAAGTGTACTAGAAAAACGGCCCAACGTTTTTCATAGAAGGTGGCTAATCCTTCTCACTTACGTAGGTTATTTCATCAAGTTTATATCAACATAAACCACTCAAACTGAGCTATGAAATAATTAAGAGCTTTTATAATAGCTCAACCTCACAAAGGGTATGGTGAATTTCTTCAAGTTCATTATTAATGAACCGCCCAAACTCTGGGATAAGAAGTCATTCAGCCTCATAATTCGGTGAATTCAATATGTCCTTCTCACTAGGAACTCCCATTCAATATGTCCTTCTCATTAGGAACTCCCAAACTCTTGGGTTTGAATTCATTAAGAGTTTAATAAAACTCATCCTCTCAAGCGGTAAGTTCATCTAGTCCTTCGCGATTAGAACTACTCACTCAACTCTGGGTTATGAACTTATTAAGAGCAATTAAGCTCATCCTGGGCATGCACATTATTCATCATAGGGATAGGTAGTAGGAATGTGCACTATGAGTCTTTTCATGGTTTCGTTTGACCACATGGAACTTAGATAACTAAGTTGGGTATCCACCATGAATTCCTCAACCAATGGGCTTTAGACCCATCCCCCTCGACGAATCTAGGACCAAGGATCTGCTAGGTTCCTTTCCGACTTCACATACTCTAAAGAGAGCACTCTATTCTTTATTAAATGTCTAACTGATTCATTTCTTATACGAATGTGTCTTTTCTTACCATTGTAAATTTGGTTCTTAGCTACACATATCGCAGCTTGTGAATCACACAACAATGAAACTGGAGGAGTCGGTCTTCCCCACAACGGAATATCTGCTAACAAGCTTCTGAGCCACTCGGCTTCTTGCCCAGCTAGGTCAAGAGCTATAAACTCTGACTCCATGGTAGAACGAGCAATACAAGTCTACTTTGATGATTTCTACGAGATTGATGCTCCACCCAAAGTAAAAACATACCCGCTCGTAGAGCTTACCTCATCATTATCAGAAACCCAGTTGGCATCTCAATATCCTTCCAGTACCGCAGGAAAGCCAACGAACTCAAGTTTCCAATCCAAATTACCCTTAAGATACTTCAGTAAGCGTTTAAGAGCAATCCAGTGTTCACCACTCAGATTATGAGTATATCTACTCAGTCTACTCACAGCATAAGCAATATCAGGCCGAGTATAGTTCATTAAGAACATTAAGCTTCCGATTAATTTAGCATATTAAGTTTGGGAAACGCTGCTTCCTTTATTCTTAAAGAGATATATGCTAGGGTCACAAGGGTTCGAACAGGGACGACATCAAAACTGTCAAATTTCTTTAACACTTTCTCAAGATAGTGTGCTTGACTTAAAGAAAATCCCTTTTCCATTTTGGTAATTTTGACTCCGAAGATTACATTTACTTCTCCCAAATTCGTTATCTCAAATTTAGTGGACAAGAAACTTTTGTTTTGTTAATGGACTCAATGTTAGAACTGAAAATCAACATGTCATCAACATACAAAACTTATGATGACGCAATCAGTACCAAACATCCTCGAAAACACACAAGCATCCGAACCATTCACAACAAAACCAAAACTAAGTATAGTTTTATGAAATTTCTTGTACTATTATTCCCATATAGATCTCCTCATCTAGATCTCCATTCAAAAATGCAATCTTAACATCTATTTGATGTACTTGCAACTTATGAATAGAGGCTAGTGCAAATAATGCACGGATCTTTGAGATGTTCATAACGGGGAAGTAAGAATCAAAGTAGTCTAAAACAAACTTGTGAGTGAACCCTTTGACAACTAGCCTTGCCTTGTACCACTAGATCAAACCATCTGGTCTCATTTTCTTCCGGAAGATTCATTTGCTACATATTGGTTTAAATCCTCTAGGCAAGTCAACTAATTCCCAAGTATGATTAGACATTATCGATTCTAGTTCATCATTAAAAGCATTTTTCTAGAAACTAGCATCGATAGATCTTATAGCTTTTTTAAGATCCTCATATAACATTTAAGCTATATGATCAGAAAGAGAGTCTAAATCATTTATCTCATAAATAAAGGAAGTGATAAAATTTGGTCCAAATAGCCTTTTACTTCTTCTAGGCTCGAAATCAATTTCTTGAGAAGACCTAGCAGGAATACTAGAAGAAGTAGATATAATATTTTCTATTTGAGTTTATGCATTTAATCTACATTTTAAGACACCCCACATTTCTAACATTTTAGGATATCCATAAGTGTCTTGTAAAACGTGTAAACAAATACTCAATCATACTAGAGTAAAGTTTGTTATGAGTTTTAGCCATAAACTATATTTTAACAAACTCGAGTTTTGTTTACACATAATTATATTCTCAAAGTTTTGAGAAGTTACAAATCATTAAGATTAAAATGCATAAACCAATATGAAATTCTTTATGACTTTTCCTCATTCAAAATGAATTTCGATTTTTTCCTAATATCAGGAAAAAATGATCTCAAGTTTAAAACAAGAGATTTTAGCACAACTAAAATAGATAATCTCTTTTCTTTT